AATTGGCAAACATATGTTTGTTTTCGATACATTCTCGTTAGGCCTTTACATTTATACTGTCATTACGTAAGTTTTTAAGTAAGCCATTAAGTGGCTTATAAATTAACGGGCTTGTGGAAAAAGAGGAGAAAATTACTCGGAAGCTTCTATCAAACGGAAATAAAACCATACCGAATCTCTCAAACTCGTTTGCCTTTAGTCCCTTGACATCTGTGTCTCTTGCGCTAACCTTGCCTAAAGTCTACAAGACTGAGAAGAAGACGACTCTCCGTACACTTCCGAGAGGCACGCAAACGATTCCAACCATATAACGCGATTTTCATTGATAAACTTTGAAAGTTCTAATTAGTTCACGGTTTTAAAAAACAAAGCAACTCGCAATAAAACCTATTTACTGGTTATGATTAGGTGATTTTTGAGGTGAATTACGCAGACGTTTGGTCTCCTCAATAAATTAAAACAAGTCGAAGAATGAATGCTGAAAATAGAATTAAAAAGGAAGTCCTACCTCTGCACATCCAACATGACTAGATAGCTGTCTCTCGCCTGAACGAGAATGCGGTTGACAGAGGGGTGAATTTCAATGCTAGTTATCCCTCGATGATCAATGTCTGCAGGCACTAGATCACGCGACAGCATCCACTGTTGTCTTTTCGGCAGACGTCCTTCCACAAGGGTACTGGCTGGCTGACCCTCTTCCACGGGTTCCCAAAAGATGAGACGTCCTTGGCCGTCACCGGAGTAGAGGACGGTGCCCGAGGGGTTGAAGCGCACACAGTTGACCAACCGTCGATGTCCCACAAGCTCTTGCACTAACTAGACAGGGAAAAATGTCCAAAGTCAGCTTCGAGGGATATAAAAAAGACTTCTATGCCGTGAGCAAATCGGCTTTCAAAAACTTGTTTTATAATATGAAAGGGGGTTCTGGGACAGTGAAGGTTCGAACATTGTTACCTGGGCACCCTGTAGCCAACGTCCAACACTGTTGCGTCCCACGTCCTTGTTCAAGGCGAATTGCCTCAAGGTCATCCACTATCTTAGTCAGCGCTTTCAGACGAGCTGACCTGCAGATACCTGACCGACTCCCACTCGGACACACACACTTGGACAAAACTGATTTGTAGGCCCCCACTAGATATCTGCCCCCCGACCAACTGCTTAACGTATTTTGTGGTCAGACATTTAATTCTTGGCTAGTGAGCTGAAATCAATGTGTAATTGTGGCGGAAGTGATCAAAAAATATTAAATTAAATAAGATTATGTTTTGTTTTAATATGCCAAAATAGAATAAAATTCGATTAACATGAATTTCTGTTGCGCAGGTTACGAATGCCAATTAAGGAAAATTCGACCTTATATAGGCTGAATTTAAAGAAAATGGAAATTGTTCATCCTTGTGGAATTCAACGAAAAAATTCAAAGTCGGGCTACTGAACATATAAAAGTAGCTTTTTTATTATAGATCGACGGGATTTTTGGGGTCTCTACAATCAGTCCTGCCCACACCTGCGTCCAAGTAGTTGCGGCTACCCAAGCGACCCCTTGACTATGCCCCTTTCCCTCACCCTCGGCCGATACAGCCTACGCCATTAGACACGAAACCCCTCCGGTAACGTCAAACGCACCAATTGGAGAACATTTGAATCTGCTCCGCAATCCCATTTAAGCAGCTGCCACCACTCGCTATCCCC